CTAATATACCCCTCAGTGAAACAGAATATATTTACTCGATATTCTTAATTGTTACATATTCAAGGCAAAAATCATTAGATCGTATTTGTGACCACCCAAGTTCACCCAGATGGCGCTGAAGACAGAGAGCTCCAGATACTGGCCATGTTAGGGGCTGAAACATGCCCAGGGCCCAGACATCCCAGCAATAACTGCCTTCCTCTTGTAGCCCTGCCCAAATGATGCTTTCTGGCTCACTGGAAAAATATCAATAAGCAGATACAAAACGCAAAAGACACTTTTAGGATTGGTTCTTAGATGGCAGATCCTGTTTTAGACTCACTAAAATGGCCAGCCTCCACCTCATGATAACAAACGGGTCCAATACACAATAAAACAATGGCCCATATGATCTCACCGCCTTCTCTCTGTGCATGCTGCCCTGCCCAAAGCCAGCGTGTCAGTCATTTACCTGCAGCACCCAGCCTCCGTCCCTTGGTGCCCGCTGTGCCAGGGAGCCCGCTGCTCCAGCAGTCTGCCTTTGCTGTTCCCTGCCCTGCCTTCATATCCCAAAGCCCCACATGCCGGGAAGAGACTGGTGGACAGCTAGGGCCACTCTGCATTGTATTCCAGGGGAAAACGGCCATCAGTGTCTTCCATATTATTTATGTAATGTATATATTCTTTAAGTTTATTTTATTCATGGTAAAGTGTGTGCAAAAGAGAGACAGAGAGAGAGAGGGAGAGAAGGAAAGAGAGATGGACAAAAACCCTTGACATTGTCTAGTCAGTTCATGAATCCATTTCCCCAGCTGTCCAGTATCCTGGGCACATGCATGCACACACACACATGCACACACACGAACACATGTACCTGCTATGTTTTCAAACTGACCTGGGGATCCACACCTGAACTCAGCCATGTGGCTTCCAACACTGCATGCCACCAGTCTAGGCCTATAATCATTATTGGGTTATCAGAAAAGTCATGAGGTATTTTTTCTGCTTTTCTATGCAAAAATGCCTCGTGACTTTTCCGACAACACAACATTTAATCCAATCTGCCAGTACTGGTCTAGTGTACTTAGCTATTTGCCTTCACTGTAACTACTAATACATAACCTCTATGAAAAACAACCCCCTGAGTCTAAGGCATTACCTGAGATATCATATCCAAACTATGCCTTGCAAGGAGATTTTTCCTGTCTTCAAAGAATCCTAAGAAAACTTTAAGAAAAAGCCACAGAAGATACCCAGGGAAGCCTGCTCTAGGTTAACCTGCTATTTCTCCTGTCCATCCATCTTCATAAATGGGAAGAAGGGCCTGTAGAGAAGAAATTCTGAAGGGACTTCTTCCATCTCAGATTTTCTGACTCCGTGAATTCAGGCTGTCTTCTCCACAGTTGGATGTGGAGCTCATTCAATAAAATTCATGATTCTAAATGGATATATAACTAAATACATTCAAATATCTCAGCATCATATAGTCCAGTTTCCAAGACAAAGGAAAGCTCCTGTTATCTAACATATAAAGCAAAATTTTTTGACTATTTAAAATATGTGTTCTGCACTGACTATACAAGGCAGGGGAGGGCAGGGTTCCCGAGGTCATGCTGAATTCTTTGAGTGTGCCAGCTCTGATGTCCTTCCCAAAACAGATGGCATTCAGTTTCTAAGCATGCACCTGTATTCTTAGATTGGATATGGAGGCCACTGATTTAATTCAGGAATGTGTCTTTGATGCCTGTCAACATGGCAGTTACCCAGACTCCTCTGAGGCATCAAGGTTTGTGGCAAGGACCTTGCCACGTGCCACACCTGGGTCAGCAGCCGTCCTGAGCTGCCAGCGAGCTGTGTAGGGGCTGAAGCAGTCGGCTGTGGGTGTGAGCATAGATAGCTCAGTGCTGTGTGGTATGATGCCCGAGGGAGGCTGGTCTAGTTCCATCCTGTTCCTTAGTTTTACGTGATGTAGGAAATACGTAGTTCCATGACATCTAGACCTAGATTATTGAAAGTGCCCTAGTCGGGACTAGCAGTTAGCGTAATGGCTATGTCGCTGGACTCCCATGTACTCGACTGTGGTTCGCGTCCCAGACCCAGTGGCTTAAAACTCACACTGGGCGAGTGTGCGTGGGTGCCCAAGATCCTGAGAGGAGAATGGAGGAGAAGGGATTGCGGCGTGGCCATCCCCCCTGAAGGGTGATTTCTCGCTTTCTGTCTCTCTGTCTCTCTCTGTTTGTCTGGCGAGCACACATGCCCTTATAGCAAAAACCTCTTAAAAAAATTAAAAAAAAAAGAAAGTGCCCTAGTCATTAAATGTACATGTAGCAAATCACTGAGAAAAGGTTCACAGTACACCGTGTCGTCGTGGGCCTTCAGGCTTCTCTGCCACCTTCTCAGATTGGTCTTGTTCCTTCCTCTACATGCTCGTCTCTGTAGTCACCTGTTGACATTGTTCTGTGTCCTTGGCTATTTCCATATGTATATTTTTAAATAATTATTTTATTTAAGTTTATTTATTTATTTAAATTTGAGCAGAGAGGGACAGAGCAAGAGAGAGAGTGCGCGCACAAGCAAGCCATCAGGTCTGGGACTTGAACCATGGTTGGCCATGTGGGAGTCCAGTGCCCTTAACCACCACACTACCTGCCAGCCTCTCCCTAGAGTGTTATGCCTGAAAAACACTAGGGAAAAGAGGACAAGCACAACTCAGAATGGTTGACTTGATTTTTCCCTGTTGCTTATTTTAGAAAGTACTGAGTTAGAGATCAAATAACCATTACATTCATTGTCCTTAAATGGTCACCTGTCAGCCCAAAGTTAACGGTCGTGGATATCAGAAATTTAAAGTTTTTTACACTGTCCATGTTAAAGCCAAGTCTGTATTGGCTTTCATCATTACTGGATCCCAGAGACTTCCTTTTCCTTTTAGGCATTTTGTGTCACTTCAGTGTTTCCAGTCCACATTTCAGATCTTTATCAAAGGGACTGCTTCTGGAGCCAGCCTCTCCTGTGCTTGCATTAGTCAGTGAAAGTTGTCAGGAGATAGACTACATCCCGTTGTTACTTTAAAATAATTATTTAAGGGGCAGCCCCATGGCCTAGTGGTTAAGGAAGCTGGATCCCACAGGATGGACTGTGGTTCAAATTCCAGCTCTAGAAGCTTGACAGACATGCTCAACATATGTGTGTGTGCCTGCCCCAAAGACTCAACATGATGAAGAAAAGAGAGGAAGGCATTGTGACGAGACCATGCCCCATGAGGGTGCTTTCTCTCTCTCCTCTTTCTCTAGGAGTGCTTATACCTATACCCCCATCAATTAAAAATAATTTTTATTATTGGTGTAACTAATTTGAAAACAACTTCTGGCCGAGCTGCAGTGACGTAGATAGTGGCAACCACTGTGTGATACTGGAGCTACGTGAGAGGCCAATGTTAGATCTTCCGTTGTCCTGAGCACACCTACACACGCATGTGGTCCTGGCTGGGAGGGTGGGGGGAGGATTGCAGTATGACAAGACCTTGTCAAGGATGTGTGTGTCTCCATCTCTTATGCAATAAATAAAATAAAGTTTTTTAGAAGGACACAACTTCTGTAATGTCAAAAATTTGCATTCAAGGAGTCAGCAGGTGGCGTAGTGGTTAAAGCGCCAGACTCCCGCATGGCCGACCATAGTTCAAGTCCTGGACTTGGCCGCTTTATCTCTCTTTCTCTCTCTCTCTGTCTCTGTTGTTCTGTGGTGATACTGAAAAAATATTAATAATGACAATGAATAAAATGAAATAAAACAATTCTTTAGAAAAAAATTTGCATTTAAGTATATGAAAACAATGTAGATTTATTTGCTGGATAATGACATAGAGGAGGACTGGCATTTTAACTAAACTTATTTTTAGTAGCTGTAAACATTGGTACTTTCTTTAAGTTGGAGGAGATATATTTTCTTTTCATTGAGGGCTTTGCTGCTTCTCTGAGGCTAGTCATCTATCTAGTCCTTTTTTGGCTCCCACCTGAGCCTTGTCTTGCAATTCTGTATTGCAATTAAGATTGTTTCTTTTGGGGCCAGCAGGGGGTGTAGTGGTTGGAGTACTGGACTCCTACATGGCTGTTCATGGTTTGAGTCCCAGACCTGGTGGCTTGCTTTCTCATTTTCCTTCTCTCTCTCTCTCTCTTTCTCTCTCTCTTTCTCTCACTCTGTTCCTCTCTGGCCAAAAAATTAAATAAATAAATAAAGTTAAATAATTCTTTAAAAGAAAAAAGATGGTGTCTTTCTTAATACAGTAGAAAAGCAGCCATGGTCAGGGTCAGTTTGGATCCTTAGCACTGAAATTGGAACACTGGAGCAGGAAGGGGTACCATTTGCTTCTGGCCAAATGTCCCTGACACAGGCAGGCAGGGGCTGGGCTGTCAGGTTCTTCTGAATACCTAGGCCTGACTTTCCAGGTAGTCCTGGCTTCACTGCTATTCATGAGACCCTTATAAAAACGAGTATAGTCCTTAATTCTAAGTAGGTCTTTATGGAATAAGCCATTATATAATGACATTAGAATCAGTTAAACATACATTCTTTTCTCTTTTTATGCCCTACTTGACATCCAAAGCAAAAAGAGGTAAGTTGGCTATGAACTTGTAGGTGAACCTATTTTCCTTAATAGATTTATTCCTGAATAGCTTTGTTTTGATTAAATTTCTATGACTCAAATAACTTTACATGAAAAAGCTAGTTCCTTATTCTTTTCTTCAAAAAGTAAATATGTACCTTCTGTAAATTTGATGATGCTTATATGTAGATGTATTTAAATGTATCACTTTCTTTAAGTTAGTCTGGTGATTTAATTTGCTTGTGAGGATATAGGGAATTTTGAAACATTTTAATTCATTTTGGGGTTTCTGAATTGTTTTCCCCCCAAAAAATGTGGATTACAAGTTATCCACGTTTCTTTTCTTAAAAATGAAGCAACCAGCACAAAAAAACAAGCCAAGAAACAACTGACGTTGGGGAAAATATGCAATTTTCAGATCCATTGATTTACAGAAGAGGATACCCTGGACCTTTCAGAATATTTTCTAGTATTGTTTCTTAATGATTTTTTTAAATGAAGAAAATATTAAATAAGAAAATCAAACACATCGCATTGAGTGGTGTCTCATAGTTTTTCTTGTGTGAGATCTAGTTTTACAATTTGATCTTGTTAGTGGGTTCTTGGTTGTAGTTTAACTTATTTCTATTTCTTTTTGATGATGGATCGTGACATTTTAAAGGTAGAGCTAGCTGGTCTTCGTTTGATACATGCTGCTACTAACTTGGCTTAACAAGAAGAGACCACCACACCACCTGAGTTCATTGTGCCAGCTGGCATTGCTCTTAAGAAGGTCATTTCTAAGCTAAAGGTTATCTGTTAAAAGGTGTTTAATTGGTATGAGAATCTGGCAATAAAATGTACTTTTACCTCTTGGTGCCACTGTATGTAATTACTTTCTCCCCTTTATCCTCCTAGTCTTTTCTACCATAGGCTGTTAATAAATACAGGCTCATGATCTAATTGTAAGTTGTTCAGAAGCAGAAAGTTGACCATCCTTCAGGGTATTTTTATATTTCTCTTTTGTAAGCTTTAAAATAAAAATAGATTTGCCTATCAATATTGCTTCGTTTTATCAGCTAGTCATATGACACACATCAGAACAGCAGAGGAAAAGCTGGGTGAAAGTTTTTGTCTAATCTGCACTCACTCCACTCTAAAAATGCTCCCTTTCTCCTTCTTAGCGAGTCCTGCTCTGTTTTATTTTGTTGAAGACAATTTTATTGCTTGTCACCAAAGTATGATAATCCATGCAGTTGTCATTTATGTGAAGGAAAAGCCAGATGTGCTTTTTTCGATGTGTTTCAATGGTTCTGTCTTTGATTTTTATTCTGGAAAATTTTAAAGAATTATAATTGTTTAGTACCATCAAGATTCTAAAACATATGGAATTTGCTGTGTTAAACACTGATGTCATTATAAGTATAAAGTGTCTGTAGACATAAATGAGTAGGTTACGCTTCTGAGAAATTAGAAGTTACACTATTCTCTGATCTGTGGGTACTTCCATAGATACAATTATATTAACAGGTTTTGTGATATGTTTGGCAAAAAGAGATGAGATAGCCAACTCTATGTGTTTGATTATAAAATGCTAAAAGTTGTTCACAGGTATCCATTTTTATTAGTGTCAGTGTTCCATTAAGTTCATCATCAGAATCATCAGATTAAAAAAAAAAATAGTTCAACTTTTCCTAACTATTGTTAATACTTATGTAAATGTTTCTATTGTGTGTTTTTCTTATTTTTCTCTATATACTGTTTCTGTCTCAATTTTTTTTATTTTTTCCTAAATTTTCCATTCTGTGTCTGTTTTTTCAGTTTCTGTGTTCAGTGGTCTGTAGGAGTACTTAAATGTTCAAGTTGCTATTGCAAGGAGAATATATTTTGATGCTTCTTTTCATGAACTTTTTTGTTAATTCACTAACACACTATTAATCATCTTGTAGATTTAGTGAGGAATAATTTAGTGTTAATGTTATTTGACACCTCTTCTATAATGGCAATTAAAGATTATTTTCACGACTTACGCGTCTAAGTCTAACAGTTATCACAGAACCATATTGAGCATCTGATATTTCTCAATTGACTTTAAAGTCTATATCCAATAATGTTTCCTTTCTCTTATTCCTTTTGTTACAAAGATGTTGTTATGATGAAAGGAATGCCTACATTGCAAACTCTCCCTTTTCCAAGTGGATTATTCAAATTATAGCATTAATAAGATATGAATAAAGAAACAAATCATCCTTAGGGGAGGCGGAATTAGTACATTAGAAGGCATTCACCACTTGTAAATCCCCCATGCAAACCACAGTGGGGAAAAGAAGAATTGCAAGGCAAGATACTGCCTGCCCTGTTTCTGTCTCAATTTTTTTTATTTTTTCCTAAATTTTCCATTCTGTGTCTGTTTTTTCAGTTTCTGTGTTCAGTGGTCTGTAGGAGTACTTAAATGTTCAAGTTGCTATTGCAAGGAGAATATATTTTGATGCTTCTTTTCATGAACTTTTTTGTTAATTCACTAACACACTATTAATCATCTTGTAGATTTAGTGAGGAATAATTTAGTGTTAATGTTCACCTCTTCTATAATGGCAATTAAAGATTATTTTCACGACTTACGCGTCTAAGTCTAACAGTTATCACAGAACCATATTGAGCATCTGATATTTCTCAATTGACTTTAAAGTCTATATCCAATAATGTTTCCTTTCTCTTATTCCTTTTGTTACAAAGATGTTGTTATGATGAAAGGAATGCCTACATTGCAAACTCTCCCTTTTCCAAGTGGATTATTCAAATTATAGCATTAATAAGATATGAATAAAGAAACAAATCATCCTTAGGGGAGGCGGAATTAGTACATTAGAAGGCATTCACCACTTGTAAATCCCCCATGCAAACCACAGTGGGGAAAAGAAGAATTGCAAGGCAAGATACTGCCTGCCCCGGAGGAGTTGCGTAGTGTGGCTGAGGAGAAGAGTTCCCTGCAAGGAAAGTAGTGGTCAAATGTTGAACAAAAAGTACTGAAGAAGAGGACATACTGAAGGAGGTGAGAGGAGGTATTTCTATATTGGGTGATCAGGAATAAAGACTGAAGCTTGTTGGCTTTAGTCAAAGTAAAGAACACCTCAGAGGAATAGAGTGATGGGAGCAAGTGAAGTCATCAGATGTGTGCTTGGCCGTTCTCTCACTGTTCTTTACTTTGTGTCGTGAAGCTGAAAACCTCGTGGTCACGTTAGCTCCCCCTTTCTCTAGTCCTTCATGGCTAGCGGATGGACTCTGGCTGTATGTTTTCATGAACATTCTCTCACCCAATCTTCACCTGAGCCATGCTAGATTGATATTTAATGTCCCTATTTAACAGGAAGGAAAACTAAGACTCAGAATAGTTAAGTCCCTTCTTTAGTGTCCCTCAGCGACTGCTTGGCAGAGCTGCCATGGAAGGACAAAGGTCTCCTTGATGTACTCTAAAACTTGCTGAAATGAAGAAGAGTTGGAGAGCACAGAGGAGAGAAAATAAAGAGGAAAGCTAAGAGAGCAAAGAGAATACTGCAGAAATACCATTGACAAAGGCAGGAAATCAATGTGACATGTCTGTTATCCCTTATTGTGATCTCTGTGTAAACCCCCACTTTACACCTGAGTGCAGGGTCAGCCCCACAGCCTGGTGGTTAAGGGAGCTGCATCCCACATGACTGACGAGCGTGTAAATCCAGGCCTCTGTGTCTTGAAAAATATACAGGCACCTGTGTATGCATGCCCAAAGCCTGGCATAATGGTGAAATGAAGAACGGATTGCACCATGACCATGCCCCACCGAGGAGTAATTGGTTAGAGAGCACCTGGGTACTGTTTTCCATGAATTTTCACAATTCCTGAGTTTGTAAGACTTTTTTGTGATTATACTGTTTTTGCTGTCTCTACCTCAGGGCATAGTATGTGGAAATTTACATTTTCAATCCTCAATTTCACATTCTATCATCAGTTTAGTTTTCCCCAGAACAGTTGAATTGGCCTTTTTTTTTTTTTTTTTTTTTAGAGTTTTTTTGCTATAGGGCACATGTGCTCACCGGACAGACAGAGAGATGGAAAGTGAGAAATCACCCCCCAGAGGGGATGGCCACGCTGCAATCCTTTCTCCTCTCAGGATATTGGGCATGCACGCACATGCACCTAGCATGAGTTTAAGCCACCGGGTCCGGGACTCGAACCACGGTCGACTACATGGGAGTCCAGCGACACAGCCATTATGCTAACCGCTGGTCCCATGAATTGGCCAATTTTTACTTCTCTGGAAAATGCTTTTTGGTAAGAAGAAAGCCTGCTGCAATTAGAATATAGATGTTTCTTTGGATTGTGCTTCTGGTCTTTTGTACATCTCTCTTTGCTTTTAGTTTAGCCTATTTTATTTGTTTATTTATAGAGCGGTTTTTGCTATAGGGCATGTGCACTTTCCAGAGAGACAGAGAGACAGAAAGCAATAAATCTCCCTAGGGGAGATGGCCATGCTGCAGTCCCTTCTCCATTCTCTTCTGAGGATTTTGAGCATGCATGCACATGTGCCTGGCGTGAATTTTTGTTTTGCTTTGGGTTTTATTAGAGATTTTTGCTATAGGGCATGTGCATTCACCAGAGAGAGACAGAAACAGAAAGCAAGAAATACCCCTCCCCCCAAAGGGAGATGGCCACACTGCAATCCCTTCTCCTCCGTCCTTCTCTCAGGATTTTGGGCATGCACACACATGGGCCTAGCATGAGTTTTAAACCACCAGGTCTGGGACTCGAATCGCAGTTGACAGTGTAGGAGCCCAGTAATGTAACCATTATGCCATCTCTGGTGGCATAATATGTGTGTGTGTGTGTGTGTGTGTGTGTGTGTGTGTGTGTGTTCCATTTATTTAATTTATTTTTAGAGAGGTTTTTGTTTTTGTTTTCCTCTGTAAGGGCGCATGTGCTCACCAGGGAGACAGACTGACGGAAAATGAGAAATCATCCCCTGAGGGGAGGCCACACCAGACTCCTTTCTC